GTAATATCTTGGAAGTTATTCGAAGACGTCTACACATGGCATGAGATCTCAGAATGCTAGTCTCTAGAACTCGGGGAGAATTTCGAAATTGCCGAATCCTCCATTCCGCTGCCGAAGGCTGATTCCCACAGAATACCGACGAAGGCGCTCACGTCATTCTTCTGGTACTCTCAAGCGGATTATTAAATTTCTAAACGGTTCTGTACTTTTTTTTCCAGGAAAATGCAGAACGGAGTGTCGACCGCAAGCGAAAACACGAGATTCGACGCTCGAAAAACGAAACAGCTCCACCGCAGACGACAATCCCACGATATTTTTGTGACGGCCTGCATCGTCCTGGTTCCAGCGGTTGTAGTGTTCGGCATCGTCTACTTGGCGATTCTTTTCAAATATTACATAAATACACGAAATCTCAGAATAATATTGAATGCAATCGCCAACAACGCTTCGTACGAGCTCAAGACTCGGGCCCTCGACTTGTGGGGCACGCCCGCTCTGCTGGGGACAACGATAACTTTGTTCTATGTAATAATCTTCTACTTCAATAGTGATGTGCCCGGGGTGAAGCCACCGCTGCCACAGCTGGGTTTCTTCAGTGTACGCGCCGATCTGAACTACAGCTTTGCCATACTGCTAGGGATACTCACTACGATTATTTGTTCAGTGCCTGATGTTCTTTTCGCACACGCTTCCAGAATCTATGCTTGAACGGCGTCCCAAGCCTCGAGAAATCTGTGGCGATCCGCTCCGATGTTTGATGATTTGTCGAAAGGGGTCCGATAGCTTAGCTTTAGATGCGACATCGGAGCGGATCTCCTCCTCGCAGAATGGGATGTCAGTACTTTAAGGTTCTTCCCGCTGAAACCGATTGAGCGATTGAATATTCCGTTCCTACGACACGCGAAGGATCTCGAAATATATGTACAAAAATTTAGCGTTTGTCGATCTTGGATTTCCCTGGGGGGCACTCCGAAATTCCTCTCCCCAGGAGCGCGGCTCACATCGGCTATTTTGAAGGTCGAACTCGTTAGAGGTGTCATGGTTCATTCTCGGATTCGTTTAGTATCGACTCAAGATCCACCGATCGTCCGTATCTTCCTTTGACTTCAGTTTCATCTTGTTCAAAGCTCGAGAATGTCCTCGAAGCCTCCCTACCTCTGAAGTTTCCGCTCCGGAAATTCGGATTGGGGCTTCGGTAAACCGCCTCATGGCAACAGAGCGAATCGTGCGTAGAGCTCAAAGTGCCATGCTCAGCCACAACGTTCCGTTTTCATGTTGTCGAAACGGAGTTCAGATGTCGGCTCCTAGCTGAACGCTACGAGAGCGCTTGGTGAATAAGTCGGCGTCGAGGGTAATGAACGACGCCGACGTCGATCTGTGCGACCGAATGAGGTCTGGGTAGCGAGAGGACCTCAATGAATGTGTGTCAGCGAATGAATGGATAGAAATCGAGAGAATGCAATATATATTTATCCCGGTATTTTTTGTAAAATGAATGTAGGTATCTGGAACAGATTTATTTATTCATTCAAGAAATTGAAGAAGGGACGTGCCTGTGAATAAACGGAAAGCTTGAATACATTCTTACTCTCATGCGATTCTTCCTTCATCTCCCGTATCAGATCCGATGAACTCTGCAGACTATCCCGCCACTTCATTTTTCCGAGTCTCAAGCAGGTTGGGGTAGTCACTTTCCACTCCGGAGCACAAAATGAATGTATATTTTCAGGCTGGACCTGATCCGAGTCGTTCGAGCCCGACCTCGAACATCCTCGGCATCCTCTCCGAGGACAGATCTGGAGGAGAAATGTAGCCGAGCCATTTCTCTACCGGGAACGGCGGGGAACTTCATTCCTCATTCAGGGAGGAATGAATTCACGGAGGCCTGGGAGGACGACGCGGAGCCCTGTGCGCGACCAGTATCATTTCACGGGGTGAAGCATGTTCGGGACGCGGTTTTCACGTCGTGAAGTTCACGCTCCCTCGAGGAATGTCAAAAAACTCCGACACAAATGTCCCAGAACCATTTACACAAACCATTCGGACAGGGGACAAGAAGAAGAGGCTATTAGGCCTGCCTTGCGCGCGAACAAGAAAGGAATTCGAAAGATGTGTCATCCGCTCGGCTCGAAATCCCCGCTGACGAACGCTGTAGTCGGGTTTCCCGCTCTCGAGACCATCTGACATCGCGGCCAAGTGACAAAGGTGTCATCGGGAAGCCGTGACTGCCGGATCTCTCTTCCTACACCTTCACTCAGTCAGTCAGCCGGCTGACAGAGTCGGCTACGATATGTCCATTAAAATGTCAGCGGCCTGCCGAATGGGCGTGAGAAACACGCTGTAGCGTGGATTCTCTGCGTACGGGTCTCTAGACGGCTCCGCTCAAATTCGACCGACTCCGTCAGAACCGGTCGGAGCGGTCGCCTGCGCGAGTGCTCTTCAAGGAGACTGACCGGCCTCCGTTCTCCGATAAGGTTCTGGGGCCGGTCCCTCCTCGACTTCATTCAGTCAGCTAAGTGACTGGAAGCTCCGGTCGATGTTTCCCATGATACAGGCTTAATTTATGCGCCGAAGCAGGAGGGAACCGCTCGCAGGAAAACCGAGACCATCCAGGAACGGAGCCGAGCAGCCGGTTGGCTGGACATACATGGATTCGTCGACCGTTGGCGGTTTCCCGTGTCTACTAATGCCGAGAGCGTTACGGCTGGATTCATTTATCAAATTTGATCTCGTCCGCTGGCGTTCCCTGCATTCTCTTTCGGTGGATCCGAGCGGACGTTCACAAAAATTCCACCGTCTTGCCCCAGATGGATTCGGCTCTCCTGCAGCCGCAAACGCCCGTCGGCTCAGCCGGATCGGAGAGATATTTTCGAACTTTCAGTACATAACAAGCGAAGCAGATCTGGAACAAGAGGTCTCCATTTATTGAGAGTCCCACCCTCAGTCAGCTGATCATTAGCTACTGTTTCGAAAAACGCGGAAGCAGACCTCAGGACCATCGCTCGCTTCCTCGGATGATCCGGAGAGGAGAAACTCCCTGCGTCAGTGGAAGTATGGCCACACACGCAACGGATATTCAGTAGGATGTCGCACGCCTTCGTCTAGGATTGCTTCCAACACGAGCACAAGAACAGCTGATTCCCATTCCTCGGAAAACCAAAGTTTCACCACAGTCGGGTCTTCTGAGGAACTAGGAACAAAAACTTTTATCTCAATTTCCCCGGGAGCCTCTTCCCTCCGGCCTCAATCAGCAAGCCACACCCGCTAGTATCTAGATTACTCGACAAATAATAAAAATGAACTCGGGAGGCGCGTCTCGATGTGAAATCGCAGGTCGTTCACGCAACCTTATGCTATGCGTGTATCGGAGCGGCCGTGTCGATTCGAGGGTCTGCGAGGATGCGCTCGCAAGAATACATGCACACGTACGCAGATACAAGCAAGCATCCGTCCGCGAATGCTCGCGACGCTATTTTTGTCAATTTGCCTCCCGTATCATCATCGGAGTCATCATCAAAACTTGGGCCAACTTTATAGACCCGCAGCGCGGAACCAGTCAGCTGGGACGACCTCTTCTTTGCTCTTCATATTCCGACTCGTCTCCATGATAGTGAGCTTGTTGGGTGCGGAGTGTACCAGATGGAGAGCAACTCACGTAAATCGAAACTCTCAAACAAGAATCCGTGGAACATCCCTCAATTCTGAGTGGCAGGGGATGTAGGTACAAAGATTTAGGCAGCGACGACCCAAACTCTTCCTTTCTCCCAAGAACTTCGAGCCTCTGACAAGTTTGTCAGAACTCTGGTGGCTCCCGGGTCTGCCTGCCAGGTTTCCAGTTGCCAGCGGAACGGAGCAGTGACGATAAGGGCTGCGAGGTGTTGTAAAAGTATCCTCGTCGCCGACAAGATGGAAGTTGGAATAGAGCAAAAGGAGAACACACGAGGGGCATGCGTAACGGAAAAAACTGAGTAAAAGAAAATACGACGCGAACGCCGGCTACTCAGGAGAAGGCGGAGGAACGAGCGAACGAGCACGAGAAGGAGAGACTCCTGTATTCGAAGAGGGATTTCATATCCGTGTATCAGGAGCTCCGTGGCGGAAGCAAGAGCGATCGTCAAATGTCTCGAATTCCGAATGTTTCGCGGACGTTTTTTTCCGCGTTGAAAGTTCTGCTGGTGGAGCTTCGGAGATGTACTCAGCAGGATTTGAACGATTCTCTTTCCACTCTTTAGCGAACGACGAACTCGGGGAAAGTGTCCTTACGCACGCGAAGACGATTTTTTCTCGTTCTCATCGCGCTCTCCATGAACATCGAGTCAGGCACTCACACACAACAAACGATTGACCTTCGCCAACAGAAGGGACGGCCGATATGGTCTCTTGAAGAGGAACAGACCGGCTTCACGAGAAGCTAAACGGGGAGAAACGGAACGAACCGCCCGCAGCGGCATCGCCGCGGTTCCTCCAGCTAGGCGAGGCGGAGGCAGAGCCGTCCCTGTAAAAAAGCATTCTCGCATCGGACGATCGGATGTATTGCCGCTATTGAGCGGGATAATTCCTCCTCAAGGGAGTCGTTATACTCTCCTGACTCTCCGGCTGGTCTCACCAAAACATTTCGGAGAGGAGCGTTGGACCGAGCGATACACACAAAACACGAGAGCACAAGAGCTCAGGAGACCGGGAAGAAGTGGACCATCGTCGCGAACCTCCAGGACTGGGGTCAGATACTGCGAGAACTCCGATAGCCACAAAACCGGAACGGACGAGCTGGCGGCAGCCTTCGAGATTCGCTCCTCGATGTTGTGGTTCTGAGACAGATCCTGCTGCGGAGATCAGATGACAGGGAGAGGGATTTCCGACGACGGACTCCCTAAAAGAATTCCTCCATGCGTCGATTGACCCTGGATCGGTTTGGGTTCCAAAACCGGCATCGTCCAGAGTCCAGACCCTAAACTCGAGGACTGGGGGAATCATGCGTCGACCATCAATGGTCCTCGGCCTCACTGTTGACCCCTCGCGGCTTCGACTTTCGAGAATTCGAAGCGGTTCAGATCTCTGTATTCGATTTTCACTCGAATAATTCTCCTCCGGCGGTTAGTCCTGAGCATGTCGTCTTCAGACTCGAATCCGACGGCGAGACTATGGGAGAATTAGAGAGCTGAGAAATGAGACGCGCGCACATGTTCTCCATTTGTGTCTCTCAAAACTCCTTCGGCGGCCGACAAATCCCCGGGGATCCGGCCAGAAGATTTGAATTTCTCATCCTCAGGAGAGAATAATGCGAAGAGAGGAGAACGAGGAGAGGAATAACGAGACCGACTGCTTGCTTCCCGGAACCGGGATGGAGGGTCTGTTCTTCATGCTCCTCGCTAATTCCTCCCTGTTTCCGCGTACATACTGCAAGCAAGCCGCCTCATCCGTTGCGGTTCCTCTTGTCCGCAGTCTCTGGAGAGCACTTTGTATTCAATGCCTTCGCTCGAAGCCACCTAGGCGCTACGTCATTTTGTCGGACATTGTTTTCCCACTGAGAAAGTTCCTGTCCCGACCCGCCTCACTCATCCTAGTACAGACGTATTTATGTACCCACTCGAGTACTGATTCAGCTAGCTCCGAGCTGTAGTGATCGAGGACGACGGCGCAACACAGGCTTGGGAGGCAATCCGAGCTCATTCCGGAGGGAACGAGGAGCTTTCACGTTCGAGGCTTCAATCATCTACGAGCTCTCGTTCATGGCCTGCCTAGGATTGCGGCAATGGGACCGATCAGAAGGCGGTCATATGTTCTCAAAAAAAGTCCGGACTTGTCAACCCTTTGACGCTCGGCTGAAGACATCAATTCATCCGGAAAAGCTCGTGAATAAATCCATGGGAACGAGAGGCGCTTCTCGACTAGGATGGCGACATGAGTAATTTACACGGAGGATTAGAGAGCTCTTCAGGGGGAACGCGGGTACATGAGCCAAGATGGATTTCCAAAGACCCGGTTCCACTCCGGGATGTCTTCCAAAATTGGAAAAAATTCGAAGCGTATCCGTCCACCGTGCTGACGTGGAGGCATGTATAAGTAAGACGCACGACTCACTCTCTCCATGTTGACTTTATTCGGAGAGAACATTTGCAAGCCTGCATCGACTGTAACACCGTAATCATTTCAGAAATTCGCAGGAATTCGGAGATTTTTATGCTTCTTTCACTATGTGGAAGTTGCCCCGAATTTCCGGCCTGGAAAAAATCCTGCGATGAGCGGATGTACCACCGTAGCGACTCGATCTACGGATTGCCTGCCTGGATATGCAGGAGAGCCATCGATCCCAGCTCTGAGGATTGCGATTCTTTTACGGAATATTTCAGTAAAGTGTGAAATGCCCTTCGAGAGCCGAGACAAGACATATGCGGCTGCTACTAACGAGAACTCTTCGCCCTCGTGGACGGCTTGTATGTCCCGCTGGGCGAGATTTTGCAGTCTCTGTCGAGCTTGGACAATTTGCTGGTAATTGTCGCGTCTCATCCACTCTCTCGGGTCCATAATTTGATTCGGGGTTTGCGGAATAACCGACTCATTTCTGTCTCTCCGGAAGTAGTGCGGACGGCGACGGCTCAGCTTTGAGAGAACTCTGCGCGAAAAAAAACGGAACCATGAACTCGTGTCGCGTGGTGGAGGGCCCGAAAGGAACGAACATGATACGCGCATCCAGGAACGCATGCGACGACTGCAGCAATCACAGCCGTTTCCGTCGTGTCCCAGGAAGTTTGAAAGTTCCCAAGCTCCATGGGTTCCATACCCTTCATCCGAATCGATCGGCGGAGGAGGCGGCCGCGGCGTTTCCCTGAATCTAGAGGACGGGTCACCGAGAGGGGCGACCGTCCGCCTCGTCGTTCCACGTCTGAGAATTTTCGGGGCGAATCGTTTTGTGATCTTCTTCGCTAAAGGAATCATTTGACGCTTGCATCCGTAGGACGAGCAGCGCATGAAGTGCTCGGTGAACTCCATCAAAGAGATGACAGAGACCCCGATGTAGAGTCCGAGGCACCCACCGAGATCCGCAATCAGTTGACTCATCTGTGCAGATGGCAAAAATATTTACGTCTCCTGGATTCATCTGTCGCAATGTTCAGGGCTAGCCTCCTAGAAGTTCTCAACCACAGACGACCTTTGATTCGAGTCGGGCTGCTGTGAAACTTTTCCGCTTGCGAAGAATGTCTACCCGCGAGCATGCCTACATGCCTGATATGTATGTAGAATGCTCTCACCAAATAGGAACTCTCGTCCTTGACCCTCATATAGTTCATCTCTTGCATATAGACGTGTACCCTCAGATAGTTACGTCGGAATTCGTCCACACCGGGCATAATCGCCAGCTGCTCATCGGTGGATTCCGGCACCAGCGTCCAGTTGATACCGCTTTGTTCGAGTCGTTTGTTGACTTCCGGGAACCGGGTGACGGCAAGATACTCTTGACGGAGATTAGGCCACTCCGACTGCGATGTCGTGATGTCATACCGGATCTCGCTTAAGAGGAACCATTTCAGCTTGCATGACCTCGATGCTTCTTTGATACAGCGTCTTTGACATTCTCATCGAATTTCGTATTATTAGATGAAATATTAGGGAAAACTACATATATTATTATTGGTACATGCAGTCGGAAACACACTTGCATTCTGCGCGACACAGCAAGCTGCAGATTTTACCGCCCTGGGAACCAGTGAATCCGCGGTAGAAAGCCCGTCTGCATCGGGATTGGTCAGCGTTACAGGGGTCGCATGACGAGAATTTTTCGTGTGGTCTTTCCACCGCGAGCTCGTCCAGACAATTACACGCTCGATAGAGATAAGCTTCGGTACACACGGTCTGGCAGTACTGCAAACAGGATAATCAAACAAGATAACCAAACAAACCGACAAGGTTCCGTCACCGGACGGGGATTAGTGCAACAATATGATTGTTGCTAAACTGGTGGAGGGCAAGCCATTGGGAGAGTTATGTGAGCCATTCGTTCCGTCAAGTTCCCAATGAATACCATTTTCTCGTGAGTTCTCTTTCTTTCAAAGTCCCAGAGGGACACATACGAACCTCGAGGGTGTACAGCATTTTAGAGCCAATCAGATGGTCGAGTTTCAGCTTTTTGAGATGCTCCGTGAGAGGACTGTCCGAGAAATTCATCGTGCAGCCCCTGAACGGATCGGGCAGCCTCACAATTTGTCTCTGGAAAAAGACGAATGACGGAAAACAACCCGAGCGAAAGCGTATTCACTTTCCCGGAGAGTCTCCCTCCGTCCGATCGCCCCTGAGCCCATCTTGTGATAGCTCTTGCATAGAACGAAAGGATTGAGCCTCGGGGATTCCCGCATTAATAGACTTCGTATTCATTGCAGAGTATCGAGTACCATTTTAGCCGCAATGTAGGTCTTGGTGCCTGGCTGTAGGATTATCCCGCCCGTATCGAGGCTAGGTCGACTTCCCACGGCGTGGACGAGAATCCGCGCGCCGAATTCGCCGGACACAATATCGAGATATTCAGGTCGCTCAATGTTTATCGTAAACTGCAGCCCCAAACCCGCTCCGCTTTTCTGAATAAGACGATCGGCGTCTTTCAGCGTCAGTGAATGACAAAGCCCATAGCGAGGCGAGCTGTACGCCTGGCTCGAGACGATAGACGAGCTGGAAGCGGGTAAGAATCTCTGAGCCTCCATTGGCCGGTCCGCCGCGAGTCTTGGGATTATGATGCACGCGTATAACCTTGTGTTGAAGCAATCCTTCGAGTTGTATGTGCACTGGACGATCATGTCGGCGGCCTGGTGTCCGAACTCCCTGATTTGTCTTTTCGTGGTCACCAAGTTGATCCACATGTCGCTGAGGTCCATCGTGCGACTTCGATTCACGATTTCGTCCGTGGTCCTAATCGACAATTGACAGCGTCATAAATGAGTGCCCATGGGAGGATGCGAGTTAATTCGAGGTCTCACAAACAAAGGAAACTCCCAAGTCGATTCACGGCTCCCACGGACTTGGGGACCGACCAAGGAATAATCGGCCCCTCGTGCTCCGAGTACCTGAAACACTGGAGATCGTCGGATCCCTTGACACTTGACGCCGCAGTGGTCGCGAGGAAGTCCGGGAGCTCAGTCGTTTGTTTAGCGACGTCGTCCTGTTCTTTGGCCATGCGCTGTCGATTCAAATCAATCCGCTCATCGTAGGCACGAATATCCCCGACGGATTCCCTCTTTGGAATTCTTCTATCGGGAGTTAAGCTCCTCGGGAACAAGGCAGTGTCTTACCATAAGGTAGGCTTCGAATTTCGTCTTCTTGACGTTATTCAAGTTACAGATTGTCACCGTCGGGAAGTCCAATTCGGTCGCATGAATCTCTTCGGTCGAAGTCGAAACCGGGTAATCGAAATAATTCGACAAGAGGAAACTGATGTGGTAAAGGAAGCCGCACATTGCGGCTATGACGAACAGCGTCCAAAAAATTTGACGCAGTCTGAAAATTCGAGAGCACTCGATAGATGAATCGAATCCGAGGTTTTCGAAGAGGTTTTCGTGTTACGATGATCCAATACAATTGACATCGAGTGCTCAACGTCAGTGGAACTTCAGGGAAATTCTTTAATCGGCAAACCTGTGTTTCTTGGTTAGAGCGATCCGAGCGAAACCATGGGCCGTCACTGACAGAGCGAAAATCTCGTTCAGTTCACCGAAGGAGATCCTAGTCCTCGAAAAACTTTCGTAGTATTTGCCTGAGTTCGCGCTCCCTTCACGGAATTCTTTCTTGTCGCTTCCGTTGTCGCTCCGTCGATCGGGAGTTTTCCGGGACACACGGGTGTAGATCTGCGTCAATGGCCCGTTCTGCATGATGTGGGGGGCTTCACTGACATCGGGCGGCGACTTCGCTTCGCATGATAAATGCTCCCACCGTGGGTCCGAGACGATCAAAATACTGTCCACAAACGAATCGAATCCCTAGACATTCAATTATGGGCTTCATATAAGCGATTGAGGACGCTCTTCGCGTGCTCGATTTATTTAGGTCCGGTGCCAGGCTCTGTTTGCAGACTACGTAGTACGTTAACGAGCGCCCCCTCAACGGTCTCAAGGACAATGTCGCTTCTGTATGCACTTTCTGCTGCCAGACAATTCATCGCCCTCTCGGAGCCTTCACGGATCCTCATCCTTTCTCAGACACCCTCTCAAAATCCTTAGGCATCCGGACGTTCCTTCGGGTCAAGCGGTAGGAAGATAGCGCCTCGTGGATGAGGAGCCGCAAATCTTACACGTGTAGCACCTGGGAAAAGCTTGTAGTCCGCAGCTTCTCCGTAAGGAAAGCGCTCACATTGGCGGGGGCAGAGACACACCACATGCCAATCGATATACTCGATGCATGAAAGATCTCGCCCGCTCCCGGAGGGTCATTCGGTGGCGTATTTATCGATCACTACCAATTGATGAGTGATCAGTGAACACTGCGATGCTCTCGGACGGAGTCTTCTAAGAAGAAAGAGGAGACCATCTGTCATAAATAGCTCATTTACTAGGGAATGCATCAAATAGGTAGGATTGCCCGAACTCGAAAGCGAATATTTGAACCTAGGAATTCTACATTGGTCATTTTTGAAAACCTTTCCGGACATATTCTCGATATAGGTACAAAATATTCCTCCCGGAACAATGAAAGCTTCCGGGGGGATCATTATTGAAGATTGATACCCGCACCCAAGGCGGGAACCCCTCGTCACGGTAGACGAGGATGTACTTGGCAGTCATTCGCTTTTGGCGCTAGACATCACTCACAGACTAATTTACTCTACTCTGTTTCCTGAACGCTGTACATATATTACACTTTTCAGGCTGCTGCCGCCCATCTCCAGCCTCGGATCATTTCAACAGCTGAAGCAGCACCAACAAGGGGCTAAGATAGAGCAGCAAGGTGCTGACTTTCAGTCCGGTGGCAGAATTGCAGCCGTTTTCAGCGCAGTAGCACTCCTCCCAGTACACCCCTTGTAAATCGTAGCCCCAATCGCAGCCCCAGTTGATACCGCGCTCAGAAATTTGAGCGCACCGACGTTCGACACTGCGCCAACGACCATCCCCTGGAAAGGAATCCGGCGGAGATTTCATTGGAGGATCATCCTTTATCATCGGTGATCGGACCTCTTCGGGCTTTCAGAGAGCCCCCAGCTCTTCTCCGACTCGAGACTGTGTCTCCGCTTGAATAGTATTCCTCCGACGAATCATATCTGAGTGAGACAATCATATATACTCACAAATAAAGCCTCGAGGGCTCTGTTGGAGCCGCTTATAGCAGAAAGTACCCAGAGCGACAGCCTGCTCTCCCAGACAATCAACGGGCGTGTTCTTGGAAACGTCGAAATACTCGTAGGCACCGCAGAGATCTTTTCCTTTCGGATCCTCGCTCGTGGAGCATTGATAGCATTTGATCGCAACTCCTGCAAGAGAATCAAAATCGTGAGTACGAGTGACAGATTACAATCTTCTGGACCGTATCTCCTGTCTGATTTGTTCATTCCGACATGTCTACTTGGAGTGGGAACTGCACGCTGAATTCAAGAAGAGAGCTTTCTCAGTGTCGTCTCGCCACGTTCGGGGGAATATTATATGGCAGGGGTGGCCAAGTGGGGTCCGCAGCAAGATTTTCGGGGGTTCGCGACGGGGTTCCTGAGTCAGATTCGGAGTCAGATTCCCCAATGGAAAATATGATGATTGATCATGAACTGTCTGGGATTGACTCAACGCTGCAAGTTTCGCAGCGAAACTATCAAGTCTGCAGACATTGCTGGCAAACACCTCGAATTGAACGTCGAACCCCGCATTCGAAGCTTGCCGAAAAGTGCATTATGAGAAATAGGGGGTCCGCCGACTCCAGCTCACCCGGTCAGAGGGTCCCCCGGCTCACCTAAGTTGGCCATCCCTGTTCTATGGAGCTTGGTATCAAATCGTATTTTGACTGAGCTTCGATTTGATATCGCTCATTTCGAGGAGGCGATTCATGGAGCGAGCGTTTATGCCGAGCGATTTCTCGACTGATCCCCGTCGTTGGGAACAGGTGTGGCTTTCGACTTGCGTTAAGAGGAAACTAGTTTTGATCTTTTGAGTTCATGTCTCGTGAATGAGTGTTTTCCGGAACGGCCCATGCTGCTCGCGGCTCATGTCGGACCATCATACACCTGTTCCGCGAACTTACCGATTGACAGGAACGAACTAAAAATAGCGAAACAAGTCAATCGCCTCATCCTGAACTCTGAAAACGTCGTTGCCCCTGTGTATCGTGCACTGTCAGTTCCGACGACAGACGACAGCGGGGACCCGAAGTAGTTTGTTGTTGTGGCTCGGGATCGACAGAAAACACAGTGCGTCGCTAGGCAACGACCGAAATAGACGTCGCCGCTTGATTTTCTGACGCATACCTTTCGTCCAGAGGGCGCTGCGGTCACTTCAGACGGGGGTACCAAACCTGAATTGCAGCAGTAGCGGAACGAAGAGCTTCTGATCCAAGAACTCCTGCAAGGGAGCCTGGATGAATTGATTAGGCTGACCACTTCAGCTCTGTTGTCTCGACTCATGCTGGCGGGAAAGCGGAGACAGGCCGAGCATGTCTCTCAGCGATCCGAATTCCCACGAAACCTTTCTAGGAACATCAATCCTGGTACCGAACACCAACAGCTGACGCGAAACCGTTAAGGAAATTCCCGAGGGTCGATTTCATTTATAAACCTCCAGAATCTAATGAGCATCACCTTCGAAGCCGCAAGCTCATCTCAATCTCTTGAACTCAGTAGTCGACGTCACCGTCCCCATGAAGCCTCTTTCGCACTATTCTCTTTCGAGCTCCGATGGTATCAGGATCCCGTCCGCGAGGTGATTGTCCTGGATTATCCTCATCCCGATTTATCGGGGTGTATTCCCGAATGGCCAAGGGGTTGATGGCGCTCAGGAACCTCAAGAGCATCGAAACGTCGAACTTCGCGAGAGCCTCGGCTCCTTGCGCTTTGCCTCGACATCCCAGTGATTTTGCTGCAATGAGACAGACGCAAGCGGGGGACGCAGCATCGATGAGAATACATATGTTGTTCGCGAAGTGTTTTTACGATGCGATACAGCAAGACAAGTCGGATTGCCGGGAAGTTTTGGGAATCCGATTCTAGAGGTCGACTCAAAAATTTCCTCATTAGGGTTCCGATCGTCAATGTAGGCTCCGCTGAAAGTCATCTCCCCTCGTGTACCTCTTACATTAGCGGAACGAGCATCCGACTTTGTTGAACCGAATGCTCGCTGGAACTTCGGACAGATGAACCCGAAGGAGGTGGCAGATGCGCGCTAATATGTACAACTCCCCGGAAAATCCTCCGGACATCTCTCTGAGTGTACGATATTACACACAACTCTGTGCGAGGTCGCGCCGAAAACCCAAGCAAGGCAGAGAGGGAAGAGAATCAGGATCACCGAGAAGATGAAATATCCTTAAGGAACCTTCGTCCCCTCGATTTCGATCTGTAAAAGTCCGCGCTCCAGTCTCAATGCGTGCCAAGAGCTTTCTTCGCGTCGGGACTTGGTGGGCGAAGCAAGTGAGGTAGGTACCTGCTTCATCCTTGACGAAAAAACATGTCATGTCTCATTGGTAGGTGAACCCCCTTCTATGTATGTATATCCTATCAGAAGTTCCTAGCTTTCCGCGATCCAAGCGGGGACAGGGAAGGCGTACCGAGCCATTATTCTGTTTACTCATCATCATTCGACCGGCAATGAATGAAATCGTGGGTGACTGATCTATGAGTCTCTCCGATTCGAGAATTTCGCACAGTAAGCGCGCCTTCCTTCAAGAAAGGGATCTCTCCGTCGCTTTTTCGAAGATATTGAGAGATTCTGAAGGTTGTCGCACGGAGCGTGCTCCGAGTCCCGTCTTGCTCCGCCTGATGTCTTGTCTTGTCACCGGGCTAATGAACTCGGGAGAGCCACCATCCCTTCGAATCTCGCTCCAGGACGTTGCGAGAGACACCTCGTCAGAGGTTCACTGACGGACACCAATGGCGAGGGGGGGAGATCTTATCTACGGAGAATTCGCGCCCGTTGTAGATCAAGGGTCATCTTGGACCGAACATAAACTCAAGGCTTCAAGCTCATGATAGCCTTCGGGGGGCCGAATCGTACGTGGGGAGGTTCCCTGCCGGGCGGGAGCGCTCTCATCGGGCTTCGTTGAGTGCACGTGCGGCGACGAAAACCTTGTCTTGAACGCGGGGACCGACCGACTGACGACATGGACGTATTCCATGAAGAGTGTTTTTCCTGGAAGATAGGGTGCTTTGCCTGAGAAAGTTGGGAAGAACTCTCCCCCTTGAACCTTAACTGAAGGTTCTTCAGGACCTCGGAACTCTCAAACTATCTTCGAGCGGGCTGTCGGAGGTGGGCGCTCGGGATGAGCTCTTCTGTGAGATTCCCGCCTGTGGAGGGCTATATTTGCATTGGAGCATGTTGACGGAGTCCGGGAAGCTCTGGAGCAGGGTTCCGACCTCTTCAGAATTGATTCGACTCCTGCATACTGAGATTGTTCCTTCTTGTACTCAAGTACTGAATCGGTGATTCTGCTCCGGAATCCGTCGACCCGAAATCAAAGCCGAGGGCCCTCGCACCCTAGTGATCCGATTCCGGGCTTGAATGGCTCGATCAGGTCTCATGTCTCCGATCTAGTCTAGAATCTCATCGGGTGAATATATCGGGCATCCTATATCATTTGATCCGCTACCAGCGCGGATTCTGATGGCAGAATTATCTCCAATCCATATTCAGTTCACGACCGGCGCTTATGGCGAGTTTACCGAGGGCAGCTGCTGCCGCGAATCCAGAATACTCCCAGGAAGCTTCTATCAGCATTCTTGATGAGCGACAGAACTTCATCGAGCCTTCTTCCCTGCTGCTCTAGCTCTGGAAGCCTGCGATATTTTCCAATCTCTTTCAGCACTCCCTGAGCTGCGATACCATCATCCAGCGCCACGACCAGACATCAGCATTCATTGAACTCCGGTTATTCTCCTACGGGCACGTGACGAGCCTCGAAAACTGGGACTTTCAGCTGTTCATAGTTCTGAGGCCGCGAAGAAGATCGAGGTCGGGATTTTTGGATCGTCGCTGGTGACGTTGCTCTCCAGCGTCGAGGAATGGGATCGTCGGCGTTCACTCTCAAATCGTGGTCGACCGGTGGACGTTGCGATTGCACGACTCGGATCCTGATAAAAGAAGCAGGGAACCGTAGGTAGGGGATGCCCCGTGGAAGATCCTCAATTGGTGACCCCAACAATCCGTCAGAATTCAATGACAGGGATGCGCACGTCCCCTAGTCTTCTTCTCTATCGCCGCTCCAGGACTCGCTTGGAGATATGGATCTCAATAGCTCAACCGTTTCGGACAATAACCCGACAAGTGAGCTGTGCACTCACCACCCGACGATCCGCCATGAAGAAGGACTTCCGACGAGCAATGAAGGTCTGACAATTGGGGCGTTGGGTGTCGATACCAAGCATGAGATTGAGCTAGGTTCTGAGACCCATCAGCTGGATCATGATGTCAGGCACACCGACGCGAGCATCGCCGACCCGATTTGAGTAAATCAACTCTGCCGGGAATCTCCGAGTGAAAGTCCTGCCCTGCAGATGCCAACGTGCTTGCCCCACTACACGCATCGCGAAAATTAATGTAATATTTGCAGTGTATTCCGAGGATTGTGTTTGCGGAAGCAGATCGCTCTCTGGTGAGGGCCGATTCCGGCTCATAGCCGAGAAGGAGCGTTCACCTTCGCAAAGAGCGACATTTGCTATCGCGGATTATTCCACTGACGATATCCAATTTAAATTTTACGAGTAAAGTAAGCTTCGGAAGCCTCAGCTATCACGACTGGCTTGGAACCTTTTCATCCGATCACTTGCGCGGTTCCGATTGAAGGCGTGATGGAGAAGGAATCGAACACTGACATCTCGAGCGGCGCTTCCGATTAGCGAACGAAAGTGTTCATCCAAAAATCCCGAGTACCTCATCAAGAGTACTCTCGAGTCATGCCGCCCAGACCTAGTCAGTGCGATGGGAAGAGGCTCGGGAACGCGGTCCGGGCCCTTCGGGGTGAGGAACCCATGGACGTTCTCCTGGATCGATAGATGTACTTTGTTGCAGAACTACTTCTCGTCCGATTTCATCCTGGTTGGGGTTGCTGAGACAGTTTTGGTTGCCGTTGTCTCCGGCCGTGGTCGTTGTCGACGGCGCCGCGGCAGCAGTGTAATCTTATCAAAGGTAAAGTGCTGAGTTATGTGACAGAATTCTTGTCGGCTCAGGTGATGCAGAACGCCGTTGGTTCGGCAGAATAACCATTCGATTCCACAGTTCGCTGCGTCACTCCTCTGCTCTTCTCTTCCTTGCTCCTCCTGCAACGCGTCGCGAATTTCGATTGTGAGTCGCGCGACAAGACCAAAGCAGCGCGATCTATCATGCCCGAACGCGCAGACTGAACAAGTATATCACAACAATTTTGCCATGATAAGCAGCCAGTGAACATATAGATTCCACCGCTCGTTTCCTTTCCGCCGCTTGTTTCAGGCCGAAACTTCGGCTGACGATATTTTTCTTCAGATGGCACGGCGAAAATAATAGATTTTCGACAATTTTTCCCTCTTTCGAGCCACGAGATGACCACCTAGGATTCGTCGAGCAGCAAAGACATCTTCTTTTGGCACCGATCTTCATGGAAGGCTTGTCCGACGTTGGAGCCGAAGCGAGGCGCGAGGGATGATCTCCCGATGCTCCCGTTGAAAGGCGAGCAGCGGAACTTCTCAGAAAATCAACAGAACGATCACTGTTCATCAGAAAACTCGGCTGACATGCCTTGGAGCTGAGAAAAAATAATAATCTCGCGGGTTATCGACGCTCAATCTGCTCCATAAATCGGACAGATTCAGTGGACACCGTGCGGGAGCGCCAGTCCGGAGCCTGATGGCCTGAACTGCGCGAGTTTAAAATTAGTCGTCGCTGTCGACCACTAGTTGTAGTTTAGCTTCGGCGGAGGGACACACCGGTTGTGACGGAGTGTATTTTGCGGATGACGCTTCTACATAAATAAGCGATGCCCCTTGTTTGTAAAAAATTGTACTCGGCTTTATTTAGTAGTACGGCAAGAAGAGAGCTGCAAAAACCTCGTTTTGAGTCGGTGTCCCTAATTCGGCCCCCTCGGAGAGATCTGGCCCTCCAGAGTCGAACGAGCCGACCAACAACCAACCAAGCGACCTAGCAGCCCGCTCTCGTCCCGCCGTCAGCAGA